ATATATATACTGTATATAAATAAAATTCATTATCTTTGCTATTATTATTTCATTTTTTATTTTTGACAAATATTAACTCATTCTGTTCCAAAAAAAACCTGGGACGGGACAAACTTCTTTTGATTAAATTAACAGTACAGTCTGAATTCAGCAGCAGCTATAGATTATGGTAGAAATTAAATAAAAAGTTGAAAATAAAACTTTAATCATCAAGTGAATACTACAGGTATTATGGTTAAAATTATTTCCTGCTGTCATACTGATCCTGATGGAAAAACTACTCCCTTAAGCCCACTTTAAATTCTCTGACCAGACATTTCAGGTGAACATGAACTCTACTTCATGCCTCACCAAAAATACTACGGTAATTATCTGCCAATAAACCATTACAACCTCACTACAAACGCTTTGTTCATGCTCTAAATAAATGTGGATCTATGACTCACTAACATATACCCGGGAGGCTAAAAGAAAATAAATATTGCTGCTGAGTTTAATATATTTGTTTAGTTTTCCTTCCTTTTCATTGTTTGAATGTCACTCTTACAGTCCCTGAGGTGGAAGGAGAAGGTGACAGCATCAGTGCACTGTGTACTCAGATCACCACAGCTTTCAGTGGGCCCTCAGAGGACCCCTTCTCTTCAGCTCCAATGCCCAGACCAGCGTCTTCTCCACAGTCTCCTGTGGCTCCAGGTAACTCCTCCAAACCCCATCTAACATCWAACATAGTCAGAACATCCTCACATTGTTCTGTGTGTGATAGGAACAGCTCTGTGTGGCATTTACTAGCTGCCAGGCAGGGATGAAAGTACTTTTCAATTCTTGCTGGTAATATGACAAAAAACATCATTGGCTGACACAGTGCGAGCGTTGTTTTTTAAACTGTATGTATATGTATATGTGTAGATGTGTATATGTAAATATGTATGTATATATGTAAATGTTGTATTCCTAACCTCTTGAGAACCTAAAAAAAAAACTATAAAACAAACTGTTTATAAACAGATTAAGGGAAGTAAGCAGATCTATTCTGACACAATTCAGCCATGACTGGCTCTGAATGATAGCTTTATAGCAGACGGCCTCTCTCCTCTCTTCCTGGACCTACCGTGTTTATTCAAGTATAATACGTAAAATTAAATCCATAAAATCATCCATAAAGTTGGGGGGTAGTACTATACTTGGATAAATATTTTTACTTATGTAT